ACGAAGTAAGTTTTAGTTTATCAATCAATTGTTTAATACCGGCGGAGTTAACTTTAATAGGATGCATGCGCTCGTAAAGCTATTCAAGGAGAGTGGGGACGGAGCCCAAGCACTCGTTAGTAAACACTGATGAAAAGTCTTTGTTAAACACAGAACCATCATGCTCGACATTGCACATCCGACATTCCTAACTCATCCCATCTTCCTAAACGTCCGTGTGTGTTCTAACACCAGAAACCAGCATTTTAAAGTTAAAAACCAGACGTTGCGATTATGGGACGCACACTTTCATGCAAAGCTGACGTCAAGTGACTCAAATCGAAAAACATGCATATTTACAATATTGTTATCTCTTCTGGTGAAGGCTCAGCAACCATTGCATTCCTCTTCGCGCACGAAACGGTGACTCCCAGAGAAAGTAAGAGCGCAGTGATTGCCTTTATTTTAACAATGTAAACACACTTGCAGGCGTGCGCTGATGAAGCCTCAAAATCAAAACTCTCGTAACGTGATTTGTGACCGCACCGGCTACTACCAAACCTCGTTGTCACGCCACTTTCTGCAAGCAAACACTAAAATTGCCAGTAAACACGCAAAAGCGACATCGACACAATTATCTTCTAGAATATCACCTTATTTAGACACAACTGTTTCAATAGGCACTATATACATGTTGTATTTATTTTAAGAAGGAAAAAAAATTTTGTCAGAAAAAAAGTGGAAGCCGTTTACAAATCCCTGTAACGCCGAATTGGAGCGCAGCTCTTGAGGAGGAGTAGGGAAGGGTACTGAGGGGGTCACGTCACCTGCGGGTAGTCACGTGACCCCGGGGGGTCACGTGACCTCGGGGGGGGGGGGGGGGTGTCACGTGACCACCCCCCGGTTACGCCGAAGCCGACGCCGACGCCGCTCAGGCTGGAAACGGGCCCCTAAGAGCTGGGCTCTAAAACAAAATATCAATGTTAAGTCTGGTAACATTGTATTTTTGCCGAATCATTGCCACATCTTTAGAGAAGTTCGGCAAAAGCTGTGCCGAATTTTCGATTCGGCAAAAGTTCGGCCCATCACTAGTAAAAATATGCGACCCAGGGCCTGGTTTGCCGCCCCCCCCCCCCCCACTCAAGAACAAGTTGGTACGCCACTGCCTAAATATGTTACAAGTCAGCGCTTTGTCTTGTGTTCTCTTCGTCTGTTTGTTTCCTCGTCCCAGTCACGCTGTTTTTCAACATTAACTCTTACCAACTCGCCCCGTTATCTAGCCGAATATCACAGAAGCGTGGGCTCGTTATTTGCCAAGATTAGGTTTATTGGATAGGAGTGGAGTGTCAGTTATGTCACCGCGCTATATTAGTGTACTTACCAGCCTTTACTCGACTGTTTTGTTTTAAATTCTCGATTGATTCAAGTGTTGTTATGTTCAACTGTCATGTTCCTTTCGTATAACAGGTTATTCATTGTACTGTTAATTTAGTAGCACATTTGACACTGGTGAGCTGGAGAGGAAGGCCAGCTGTTTGATTTATAACCTGCAAATAAAATGGATATAATATGGGCACATTTATAACTACATATTTATATGCCGCAAACGCGGTAGGTCTTAAAACGTTTCTTTCTAAGTCAACGTAGAAATATACATATGTGTTAACTTGAATGGCGAAATTGTAATTAACAGGTCTTAAGGGGTAACTACAAAAGAATTTTTTTTTAACTGTTGGTACATTAAGGTGGTGCGCTTCTGCTGCAAGACGATCGGCTGTCTCGTTGCCTGTGATGCCAACATGTGAGGGCAGCCATTGAAATACTAATTGCCGGCCTTTTGTTTCCAAGTTTCTTGCTGTGTGGGCAACGTACCGTGCATATTGGGGGGCATCGTCTAGGTTGCTGAGAAGCACCAGTGCTGCTCTGGAGTCTGTTAGAAGGACGGCCTTTTCGCAGTTGGAGATATCGTCAAGTGCTTCAAGGCCAAGCCAAAGAGCTGCTAGTTCAGCGGTTGTGGAGGAGGTATGAAAACTGAGTTTTCTTGATCTGGTCACATTGAGTTCTGTGAGGAAGATTGCTGCAGTAGATGATTCACAGCTGTGAAGCACCGAGCCATCGGTGTAGAGATGCACCCATTCTACAAAAGATTCTTCTATTAGCTCTTCAGCGAGGCCTCGGGCGACAACTTGTGCCGTGAGTTGTTTGTTTTTGAGCATGGGAATGGACTCATTGATTTTCAGCGGTTGGGCGTATGGTGGTGGGGCTAGGTGGATCATAGTAGGAGCGTCTATAAGCCCTTCAAACTCTGTTGCGAGGTATCCTAGACGGGAGAGGGGACGGCTGCGCAATCGGTTCAGGAGAGAACCCGTTGACTGGCAGGTCGTTTGCCGTGCAATGTGGCGAAGCGTCAGTTCTTTACCGTGGTTTTGAACAAGGTTCATCCTTCCTTCTACTAGCGTCGGAATGTTGGGTGCGTACCTGGGTAGGCCTTGACATAATCGAACAGCAATTCGTTGGAGTGTTTCAATGGCTAATGACTGCGCGTTGCTGATGTGAACTAATGGCAATGCATACATCAGTCTGGAAATAATCAGGCCCCTATACAGTTGCATCATCATTGCTTGAGGTGTTCCCCGTCTGCTGCCTATGATCATACGGATGGCATTGAGGTGTCGGCGACATTTGATGAGTGTTGACTTGACTGCAGGGCGCCAGGAGATGCGGTCATCTAGTAGAAAGCCTAGGTAGGAGTACGTTCGAACCCGCGTTACTTCTGTTCCGCTGATTTCGTAGATTCTATTAATTGAAGCTCGGGCCGTTGGATGGTATTGAAGGACAGCTGTTTTAGATGTAAAGAGAGTAAGTCCCAGCTTTGATATTTCGTCAACAAGTATGGTTAGGGCATCCTGTAGCGCTTGCTGCATCTTGCTGTACACCTTTGTGGGGGCAAAAGCCCAGGGGGCCACGTCATCAGCGTAAATTGCAATGTTTATTACTGGTGTATCGATGTTCATCAGCTGTATGGCCTCTGGCAAAGCGGCCATGGCAACGTTGAACAAAAACGGGCTTATTACGCTACCCTGGGGAACGCCTTGAGCTACTGCACGGTTCGAACTGCAGGCTCGTCCTAGGCGTACGCACATTGTGCGACCAGTCAGGAATGCACGTATAAATGCAAGTGCTCGGCCTTGCACACCAAGTTTGATAAGCTGGGTAATTATGGTACTATGGGGAATTGAATCAAAGGCCTGTTTGATGTCAAGGAATATGGCTGTGAAAGCTTGCTTTGTGGCCTTGGATTCCTCCATGTCTGATACAAGGTCGCTGATCGCGTCCATCGTGCAGCGTAGTTTTCGGAAGCCAGACAGTTGATTAGGAAGGGTACCAGATGACTCAAGCTGCCAGTCTAGACGCCGCAAGACCATTCGTTCCATAATCTTCCCCAGACAGCTGGTGAGGGAGATAGGCCTGTAGGAAGAAGTGTCACCGATCGGTTTTCCTGGCTTATGAATTGGAACCACCACGGACTGTAGCCATGCAGGAGGAAGGACAGACGAGCGCCAAATGTCATTGATGTTGTCTAGGAGGCCAGGGAGGGTTGCGGCAGAGAGGTTTCGAAGAGCTTGAAACGTGATACCGTCCAAACCTGGTGCACTGCGTTTTCCAGAAGAACGCCGAAGAGCATGGTGTAGTTCGCCCATTGTGAAGTCCGAGTCTGCGATAGTTAGCGTTGTTGGTACAGGGCCGGCGGTGCTAATTACAGCAAAGCCTGATGGCGCAGCAGGTATGGAGGTAAATTATTCTGCTAGTTGTTCTACAGCTTGTGCCACGATTATGTTGTGGATTACTGCTAGTCCAAGAGCAGGTGAGCAGGGAGTGGCATGTCCGGCGAGAACACGAGCCATGTGCCACGCTCGTCTTCCACCTCCCGGAGAGTGAAGAGACCCACATCGCTGTCGCCACTGTCTACGTTGTAAGCGGTGGGTCTGTTTGCGAAATGCAGCGTCGAGTTTACGGTAACGTTGGATGTCTTCTTGCCTAGATGTAATAAAAGAGCGGCGCTGCGCCTTGCGGCTCAGTGCTCGCAATTTGAGGTAGGTTAGATCAGGGTTAGGCCGATATATTGGTATTGTCACGCTTCGGGTAGCTCTGGAGAGGGCCTGAGAGATGGCAGTCGTGTGGTCTACATTGCCATGAGATATTATCTCCTCGAAGTATATCCGGTATGCGTCCCAGTTAGTCACTAAGCAATTTCTGTGGGTGATCGGACCCTGTGCTGGGGAAGTGATAATTATGGGGAGGTGATCGCTACCCCAGCTGTCTGGTTCGGGCGACCAAAGTGCTTTTATAGAAGCAGTTGCGAAACTCAGATCCAGAACACTGCGTTCAACGCCGGGCCTTAAAAAAGTTGCTGTGCCGTCGTTGAGACATTGGAGACCGATGGCTGTTGCCAGATCCTCGAGCAATCTACCTCGACTAGAGGTTTGCTTATCTCCCCATGTCTCGTTATGTGAGTTGAAGTCATCGAGGAGTAATGTGGCTGGTGAGCATCGTGAGGGTGTTGTGCGTAAGACAGATTGGTTCCAGTGAGAATTAGGTCGAACGTAAATAGACACAATTGTGACGTCTGAGTTGCCTTTTCTAATTTTCACAGCCACGTATTCAGCACTGTCGTCACAAAGATCCGAGAGATCCACCTGCACCTGAGTCAATCTTCGATGTACAAACAGGGATGCCTTCGGAGCGTCAGTTGATGACTGAGTTGTCCGAGGGGTGCTGTTATATATGACATAGGAAGCAAGTCGAATCGCTCCTTGTTTTATGTTAGTTTCTTGTAGGGCTAATACCTCAACTGTGTGGAATTGTAAATATTGTCTTAGGTCTTCTATTCGTTTTCGAAGCCCATTAAGATTCCACTGAATAACTGAAGGAATTATACTATTTTTCCCAGTAGGAGTATGTATTTTTGTTTGGTGGTGGCATAGCTCAGCTGCCTGAATGGCTTGCAAGAAGGTAGGTGGCTACTTGTCCCAGGCGGCGACTAGCGGGGTGATAATGTCAATGATTGTAATCACAGCCTGTGCTACAGGGGACTTGACCGAAGTCAGGAAAGAGCGTAGCAACGAAGCAACTGAACAAAATGCGTTTCCTAGGCTTTGAGGCTTGGGCGTGTCGTTTGATCGCGAGTTTTTCTTAGCTGGGCGATCACGAGCCCATTTAGGGGGACTTTGTTGGTCTTTTGAAGCTGCTCCATCAGCGGTTGTTTCCGTGCCCCTTGAAGATCCGGACTGTTGTGATGATGTAACCGCAGAGGTCGTCGTGGCTTGGGACGTCGAGGCATCCAATGTAGGATAGTTGTTGTCACTCATCGGCGGGACAGGAGGCTGTAAGCTTTCTTTCCAGCCATGTCTGTGTTTGGGCAGGGCGTGGTGTTGTACAACGTCGGTTTCTGGATTGCTCATGATAGCTGTTTTCGCTGTTGAGTAATCTACGTTGTTGGAACTTTTGTAGTTGGATATTTGTTTTTCCGCTTTGTATGTTAGACAGTTTCGTGACGTTGCATCATGGCTTTTCTTGCAGTTGATGCATTTAGGTTTTTGTGTTTCGCACTTGCTGGTGTCGTGGTCAGCTCCACAACGGCTGCATTTTTGGGCTTTTGTGCAAGTGCTTGCGATATGTCCAAAGCGATTACATTTCAGGCATTGTCGCGGTTTCTCGAGGTATGGGAGTACTTGGTATCTGGTGTGCCCCACATAGACATGGTCAGGCGGTGTTCCTGTGGTAAAGATAAGTTTTACCACCTCTAATTTGCCAAGTCTTCTCGCTTGAGTTCCTGGGGATTTCACACTTATGGATGCCCACAGGTCATCATCTGCGATCTCTACTGATACTTTCCGGATGACTCCGACAGACGAGGATGCGGGAGTAGGTTCGTAAGTGTGAACCTGGAGTGGACCAATATTTTTCAGCTGGAGTATGGCTTTTGTTGATTCCACATTTCGGGTGTCAAGAGCAAGGAGGTTCAAACGATAGTTTGGTCGAATCTGGATGATGCCGTCTGGTGCCAGACTGTCAAGCTTTTCTTTCAGAACCAAAGGGTTCAATTTCGTGATGAGTTTTGTAGGGTCCATCGGTTTAACGATGACAGTGAGGTTGTGAGAAACTTGAGTGATTATTGTTGCCTCACTTGAATTAGACCCGTGGCACCTTTTCTTGTTAGCCTTGACGTTCCACGGCGCTTCGTTGTCTGAGTCTTCCATAGAGCTGTCAGAGGGTTCATCAGGGATGTTCGATGTCTCGGCAGATTCGTTTGCGTTGCCGGCGGGCTGCGATGTTTTCGGTTGGCTCATGTTTAGTGATCCGAGAGGGTGGAGTCCGCGGCCTCTGGCTCAGGTGCCTCGGAAGGCGACTCCTCGTTGAAGCACAGAGTTTTTAGCCGTGTTTGAAGCAGGTAACTGAAAATAATTATATAAATTTTCCGGAGCGAACAAATCGAGCGTTGCCTCTATCACGTCGTCGTCTTCTTTTTCCACGTTGAAATGTAGTTTTTCCCTATGCAGTTCGAGCTATGCTCGTAAAATGATGCAGTTGGCGGTGACGTCAAAACGTCGTCACGATGCATTTTGACGATGCAGTTAACTGAGTGGTCGAGACGAAGCCAGAGATCAATCTGCATCGTAAAAGATCCTGGCAGAGATTTTCAAGAAATACCCTCAGTCAAAGAGCCTTTACTTGCAACTTATTTGCAGGAATGGCTCCGCTCCAGGTTTTTATGGTCTTCCAAAGATCCACAAACCCAACGTGCCTCTACGACCTACTGTGGACTTTACAACCTCACCGCTTCGGCCGCTATAGGTGCATCCACACGACGGACCGGGCCGCGGACCGATTGATCACGTGATGCGCTGTCCGCGGGCCACCCGGTTGCAATGAGCATCCACACGGCGGACCAAAAGAGCAGACGACAGAGCGAACGGGCCGGTCTAACCCTCGACCTCACAGCTCCGCCAAACGCATGCAACGAGCTGCTTTGAGGCTATTTGTAAGGAGCCAAGATGGAGGTTGAACGGAAGAGACGTTAGGCCGCGGTGGCCCTGGCGTTGACTATTGAGGACGAGGAGGACTTAACTGAATCGAAAAGGGCATGCATCTATTGTCCCACACAGCGGGGAATTGCTCCACGAGCGCGATGCAGTAAACAGTTGCATCGTCGTAACATGCCGCCATCGCCGCACAACAAAATGTTTGTCTTTTTCGTCTTCAACAGTTGGCGCCCAAAGCACACGACTTTGGATTTGGATTCCAATTCAAACAACAAAAGTCAGCTTGTTGCCAGACTTAGCACTTCAATTATACTAAAAACGCCGCGGTCCGCCGCCAAGGTCCGGGCGAGAAAAGCGCTTGGCATTTCTCACAAGCGCGGGCCGCGGACCGCCGGCAGACCTCGAAAAGCGGTGACGTAAGATCACGTGATGCGCGGCCCGCGGACCAAAACAGCATTTTGGTCCGTCGTGTGGATACACCTTATCCAGTTATCTTCACCGGACTTTGGCTCCCATCGTCGGAAACACGTCGACCCATGTAGAAAATGCTGGCCACTTCGTGGAACACGCCTCGCAAATACATCTCAGCGATGGTGACACCATGGTGTCTTTCGACGTGGTGTCCCTCTTCACAAGTGTCCCAGTTCCCCTTGCAGTTGCTGCAGCCCGCGAAGCCCTCGAAAAAGACAGCTCCCTGACCACAAGAACCAACCTCACTGTGGAGGAGCTGTGCTCTCTGCTCGAGTTTTGTCTCGGCAGCACATACTTCACCTTCAAAGGGGAGCTTTTCAAACAGGTCAGTGGCACTGTAATGGGTGCGGCCATCTCGGTCACAACGGCGAGCCTCACGATGGAGGCAATCGAGCAAAAAGCGCTGAGGTCTTTTCCCAACAGCCCCAAAGTATTCATGCGCTATGTAGATGATTGCTTCTGCATTCTCAAGGAACGGTACGTGAATAATTTTTTGGCACACCTCAACTCTATCGAGCCGGCCATTAAATTTACCGTAGAATATGAGACGGATGGCACCTTGCCGTTCCTTGATGTGCTGGGGTGCTATGTTGCGCTTTTTGCACTCCCAGGATACTAGGAAGAGGGAAGTGACGTCAACGACACAGCAAATGCAGATTGGATGTTGACAGAAGAAAACAAAATCAACACCCAATCTGCGTTTGCTGTGTTGTTGACGTCACTTCCCTCTCCCTCGTCTCCTGGGAGTGCAAAAAGCGCAACATAGCCCCCCTGGTGAACCGACGAGGACAAGATCTGACGTTTGCGGTGTACCGAAAACCAACACACACCGGACGCTACCTCGATTTTGTCTCCAACCATCCAACGAGTCATAAGGCCTCAGTGGTTTCGACCCTGCTGCGCAGGGCAACGACTATCTGCTCGTCGGAAATCGATAAAAAGAGGGAGAAGAAGACCATAATTGAAGACCTAAAGAAAAATGGTTACTCTAGTAGCTTTATTGAGCGCATCGCCCGACGGCAAGGTCTCGCCAGACAAAACCAGATGCCAGTAGAAGAACAACAGCCCCATCGAGTCGCGCGCATAAGCGTTCCCTACGTAAAGGGAACCAGCGAAGCGCTCGCACGAGTACTGGGAAAGCAAGGTATTCTGGTGGCCCCACAAGCCCACGTCCACACTGGGAACGTTTATGCCAAGACCGAAAGACCGTCCACCAAAGGAAAAAGCACAGGGCGTGGTTTACACCATTCCTTGCGCAGAGTGCCCCGCAACCTACATCGGCGAGACGAAGAACTTTCCCGAGCGTATCCGCCAACACAAGAACGACGTGCGGAAGTTTGACAGTGAGCGCAGCGCCATCGCCGAACATTGCGATACCCTAGACCATCGCATTGACTTCGCGAACGCGCACGGGGTGGACACAGAGCCCAATTTTCGAAGAAGACTTTTCTTGGAATCGTGGCACATCCAGCACACGCCAGGAAACCTAAACAGGTCGCTGGGCGCTCTGCCCTCTGTGTACGCACATGGCCTCCGTGACCTGACGGAAAAGCTGAAGAGATGACCATCTTCATAACTAACAAGTCATTTTACAATTTTTCCAATTTGCTAACTTCTCTTTTTTTAATTTTTCCTTTTCTCTTCCTTTTTCTTTTCTTTCCTTTCTTGAAGACGAGGAGGTTGGGAGCTGCTGCTGTGTCCGCGCGCCTTCAGTCACCCCTGAAGAAGAAACCGTGTTGGTTTTGAAACGTCGGGTTGCCTTTCATTTTTTGGTTGGAGATATATTTTCAGACTTTAACTCTCACCCAACCAGGCAGATATCTGTCAAATATGTTTACTTTCAAGACCCTAACATATGCATCTCTACTGTTGGGTTCGCCAGTGGATCGAGTTTTTAGAGGTCACCGGGATGCTTTCGAGACGAGCGATGCGAGGTTTGTGGGCGAATACCGGATGACCAAAGGGGGGACTCGCTGGCTGTGCAACCAGCTTCGCGGAAAGCTCCAGCGTTGTCGTGAAGGGCCCCGTGTGCTGACGGTCGAACAACAAGTCCTCGCAGCTCTACGCTTTTACGCCGCTGGCGGCTTCCAGGGAACCATCGGGAGCAACGAAAACATTGGTTGTCACCAGTGCTCTGTGAGTCGCGTACTTGGTGATGGCACCAACGCTATCAGCGATTGCCTCGGATCGAAGTGGCTGTGTTTCGAACATACTCAAGCAGAGAAGGCGCTCACAAAACGGAAGTTCTTCGAGCGATGCAAGTTCAGCGTCGTGATTGATAAATACTCTAAATACTCTTACATGATTCAACACGATTGTGTTTTCATTTGAGTGCACCCCATATAAGTAATTTGGTGGAGCGAAAAGCCAAGCAAGCAACGGTAACAGGCTTAATGTTGAGCTGGTTCGTTCATACTTCAGGTAGAGAGAGAGGGAGAGATATACTGTATTTTAAAGCAACTACTTCAGGTAAGGCCAGCTGAACTAGAATAAACATACACATAAAGAAAAGACCATACACACCGTGGGACTAACAACTGATTTTCTCTTTCTTCCTCTTCTGCTACAAACCCAACTTGAGGGAAATATTCTCTTTCCTTCTTTTTTGCTTCCTACTTCACCGAAAATTTAACCTCAGAAGGAACATTTTTTTCTTTCCCGTGCAGCACGAGAAAAATTGCACTAACGCAGTCAAATATAGCCAAAAAGTAAAATTGGTCGTTAGTTTTTTTTATACAGCAGGAGGTTAGTCTGCCTGAACATGGCGACATTGTTACCCACTGTAGATAAGCAATTTAGCCAGTGCAGTACGACTGCTAGCCCGGGGTCTTTAACGTGCATCACGCAGTAGTGATACACGACCGCACGCCGGTACGATGCTCATCCAGATCGAAACGGGCAGGGGCGGGGATTGAACCCAGGATCCCTGGGTTCTGCAGCTCGAGCTTTCGCTCCACGTGCTCCGAGCAGGTGTACGCTAACGTCACTTTAGTGTACGCTAGCCCACTCGGCGACTCTCCGAAATTCCCTGTAGGGAAAGAAGAAACGATGTAGTTTCAACTCAATCGGCATTGTTCGGCGACGTCACCGGACACGTCACGTTGCAGTTCTCTTCCGATGTAGTTTGTTGGCGATGGAGATTAGGCTCCTCCCACCGGCGACGTCACGATGCAGTTTCTCCACCACTTTTTCCAGCATAGACAGACGGAAGAGTCCTATCTTACACCGTGGTTGGGACGCTGTTCTAGAACTCGCTAGAATAAGCGTCTTAACTTTGACAGTGTGAAATAAAGCCTCCCTAGGGCGTGCGAGCGCTTGAGGATCGGCTTCACGTGCCACTCAGATCTTGCGCTGACATCTGCAGTGCCATAGCCCTTGCAGATCGCCCCGAGAAACGGCCGCCGAAATGGATAAGGTGGAGCGGCCCACAACAGATCAGAGCAGAGTCACGTGATTGGCGCCCGGCTGTGGCGAGAAGCCGAAACATACTTCTCCCGAGCGTACAAGTGTGCTTCGGGTCCTCGCCACTGCAAAAGCTGTGCGCTGACGTCCAGGTTCCTCGAGAAATGGCTCTTTGATGCTTTGTGCCACCTGGGGGGCTATGTTGCACGTTTTGGACTCCCAGGGGACTAGGAAGAAGGAAGTGACGTCAACAACGCAGCAAACGCAGATTGGATGTTGATTTTGTTTTCGCCTGTCAACATCCAATCTGCGTTTGCTGTCTCGTTGACGTCACTTCCTTCTCCCTAGTCTCCTGGGAGTGCAAAAAGCGCAACATAGCCCCCCAGATCCTCGTGCTCTAAATCTGCGACCGAGCACTCTATGGTTCCGTCGTC